GCGTCGACTATTAAATCAGTCATCGACGATTTTAATAGTCAAAGTAATCGTGACTAGTCGACTAATCGTGGCAGCCCTAATAGACAGTGAAACACTATTAGTCATGGATTGGCCTCCACGGAGCCCAGGCCCTAACGTCATTGAAGCAGTGTGGATCATCTTGACAAAGAATGCAACAAAAGCAGCCAACATCCAAAGAAGAGCTTTGAATGTCCTTCAAGAAGCCTGGAGAACAATTCCTGAAGACTACTTAAACAAATTACAAGACAGCTGCCTAAGATCAGGCTGTAAAAGAATAAAGGAGGTCATAACAAATATTGACTTTCAAGATTGTTAGAATTGCCCAGACTCTGTTTATGCCTTGTATTCTGTATTTCCATGGAGGTTTGCATATATTTCAATAAACTGTTCCACGACTCCTCAACAAATAAATTTGACTTCATTAAAGTTGTTTTACAGGTTTTACAAAATGTAAATATTGCAGTAAACAGTCCCATTACTGTTGCGTGACACGGTTGTTCTGAGTTTCAAAAATTGGTGAGTGGTGAGTTAGAGGTGGTGTAATGGTGTGAAGGATATTTTATTGGCAGACTTTGGGCCCTTAGTAGAAGCTGTCCACCCCACAGTATAGCCATCTTCTCATGTCTTCTTCCAGCAGGATAACACACTATGTTCCAAAGCTCGAACTACTTTCTTGAACATGACACTTAGTTCATTGTACTCAAATCACAAGATCTCAGTCCAAGAAAGGACCTGTGGGATGATGTGGAATGGAAGATTAATCTCAGAGTAATATTTCCAAGCATGGTTGAATCTGCGCTGCAAAGAAAGCAGCTCTGAAAGCAAAAGAGGATCCAGCTTCATAGTACCAAGGTGTGCCTAATGAAATAGCCAGTGAGCCTTTACAGATTCTGTGCTTGTCACAAAAAACTTAGTTACAAATGATTGCGAGAAGATGTCAAATTTGACGCAAGGGGGCCTTTCATTAATGTCTGACTGACGGTCCCAAGCTTTACATTGAGAGTCAAGTAAAAATTCACATGGCCCAAATGGAAAAAATAAATAATAAAATAACTGCTGTTTTTCATTTTCAGCACAATGAATCTTATGTTTCACTAACAGCAGGCTTTGATACGACATCTAGTACTATGTCTTGTCCTATTAGCTGTGTTTTAGTTGGCCTGCACCATTAAAAATGCTTTATTGGTAACAGACTGCAAGCAATATGTTTGCTGCACCTTTGGATCACATGGACTTAAGGTTACAAACTTTAATATGATTGTGATCTTAGCTTTCATTTTTCGTTGCTTGCCCCTTCAAGTTTGAATTGTTTGCTCCCCTTTAGCATATTTTACTTTCTGTTGACAATGACAGGTTCTTGTTTAAACAGATACAAACATACTTTCACAGGAAACTAAATAAAGCGCCTCTGCCTGTGTGAATTTCAGGTTTGTGTTTGAGGATTAGAGTATGAGGATTAGATTTCCATTTTTCTGCCAGCAGCCATTGAGGTGCCTTTTTTTTATTTAGCTTTGAACTTTTTTGTAAATTTTCTTGGCTTACCTAGACAAGTTTGAATTGTGTGCTCAGCTAACTTTTGCCTTTGGGTATAACACTCTGTCATGGAGATACTGAGCCTAATGTAAACAGACTAAGAGTGCACTGTTGCCTTGTGCAGTATAACAGCTGAGATCTGTCCTCACAGTCCATTTAGAGTGGCCGTTCTGATGTCAAACTGGAATTGCACATATTGACATTTCAGTCTGAGACAATCGTTTTACTGTTTTAAACTCAAATGCTTTTGAAATTAATCCAAGTAAGTAACTACCATCATTTCGGGTTAGATTGGGGTTAGGATTAGGGTTTGGGTTGGTCTGAGACTTACTAAGAAAAATACCTCCAAACTGACCCGTTTTTGTTCAGTCACAGCAAATTAAATAAATAAATAAATAAAAATACAAATTCTGCGTCAGACACAAGTTTCCATAGTCAGCCGGTCATATGCAGGTATGTTGATATATAAATAAACATGATGTAAATTTACTGTTTAAGCTTTGGTGCTCTTGTGCAATATGTCTTCTGTATTAAAGTCTAAGTTTGAAAGAAAAAAAACAATAAAAGGAAATAAATATTTCTTGTGTGTCTTTGCATGACAGTGAACCATACTCTAAAAGGTGGGCGTTGCTATAACGGGGCTACAAATTCTAAAACATAGATTTTAACACAGGCATCTTCAACCCAGCAGGACAGAAGATCTAAACTTAACACAAAAAGTAACAAAATTCATGTCTGGTCAATTATTACTCTATTGTAACAATGCTTCTTTACAATAAATCTTATACCATTGGAAACCAGGTTTTTATTTTTCCTTAAACGGTGCCACCTTTGTAAGGAAAATTTCATTTGTGGGTTGCGCCTATGAAAAAATTCCATATTTTCTCTGTGAATGTCAAACACCTCGTTTCGTCTGTGCCGAATTGGATGATTACAGTCGAAACAGTCGAAACAAGACACACTGACAATTTAACAATTTATTGATTGAACAAACAGGGGCCTCTGTTGCATGTGGAAGAACCACAAACAGCTGCAATGGCTTGCCACCTCCTCCTCATGCTGGTTACCAACTTGGTCAGCACCCCTTTCCTTCAACCACTATTTGTCACAAGACAGCCAATGTGGTTGTGTTGGCTGTTAAGCCTTCAATGTCTTGTTTATATAACTAAGTTCATGTAACTGCCAAAGTTTAGTTGCCCAAGAAAGTGAACAGTCTTTAGAGTTGTTTGTTGTTGTTGTTTTATTCTTATTTTATGCAGTCATTTGTGTGAAGTTAGCACTGTCACAATTAGAATATGAGTGAATTGAATCTTGGCTAAGACAAGTTTTTTCTCTGTAATGTTTGACTGACACAATCCGAAAGTTAGATTGAAAAAAGCTTCAGAGCACAGTTATTACTTTACAGTGTTTCGTTTTAAATGTTCTTATTAATCTTATTTTAATATACAACACTGTCATACGCAAAACTAGGGTGGCACTAGGGGTGTAAGAGATCATTTTAGGGTGGCACATGCCACCCCATGCCACCCTTCAAGATCCGCCCCTGGAAAGTACTCGTGAACATAACAACTGACTGTTAAATTTCCTTGAAACTATCACAAAGGCATACACTTGTCTCCCGCACCCTGGTGTCCAAACTCACGGGATGTGTTCACATGCCAACTTGGTTGCGCTTCACGTGGGCTGCTCAACTCGTGCATACAGGGCCGTGCGGCCGATGTGAAGTCAAACAAACTATACGAGAGAACCTGCCACGCAATTGGTTAGCGTCGTGAAGACCCAGCTACGTCAGCGCCCTCCTATTCGCTTTAAGAAGAGGGCGTCAAATCTCGCGGTTAGGCAATGTATTTGTCGTCACTCTTCACTGCCACGCTTCCAAACACGTTAGGCAGCTGTCATGGACCACATTAAAGATGGATGGTTTACAGAGTCTTGTACGCTATGGCCAGGGCAAGCAATGAGTCTCCAAGTAGAGGAGGTCCTCTACCACAAGAAATCCAAATTTCAAGATGTTATGGTTTTCAAGAGGTGAGAACAGTGAGGCTAACTTCACTTAGCTAACGCTGCTAGCTGTTAGCAGTGCTCGCACTGAATGAGCAACCTAGAGCATGATTTTTTTTCCCAGATGGTTGAAAGATACGACGTTTTTTAAGCTTGGCTCGTGATTTGCATGTCATTGAAACTTTAGTGTAAACTTTAAGGGTAACGCTAGATTCGTTTAAGTCGCGGTACATGTATTTGTTTAATGGTACTAAGCATGTGGTTACACATCTGAATCCTACGGAAGCTCTTATGTAAAAGTGATCCTGTTGCCTCATGCTGTGCTGTAATGCTACTTTCCAGCAAAACCTACGGAAATGTGCTGGTGCTGGATGGAGTGATCCAGTGCACAGAGAGGGACGAGTTTGCCTATCAGGAAATGATTGCAAACCTTCCCCTGTGTAGCCATCCTTGTCCTAAGAAGGTATTTCTCATAAATGTGAAACAACAGTACATTTGGGATATTTCCAGCTGTGACGGTTATATTTGCATTTTCACAGGTGCTCATCATTGGTGGCGGAGACGGGGGTGTGCTAAGGGAAGTGGTGAAGCATCCGCTGGTGGAATCAGCGGTTCTTTGTGAGATAGACGAGGTGGGAGCAACAACTCTGTTAATTTATGATGTAGGGATTGTCCTCTCTGCTGCCTTTGACATTTTTATGTTGTCTTCTCTTTAGGATGTGATTAATGTGTCAAAGAAGTTCCTGCCAGGGATGGCCAAAGGGTTTTTCAGTCCCAAGCTCACCCTCCACATTGGTGATGGCTTTGAATTCATGAAGCAGAATCAGGACGCCTTTGACATAATAATAACAGATTCATCAGACCCAGTGGGTAGGTGCTGCTTAAAGTCCCACACTCCTTGTGTGTCCAAAGAACTAACCAAACAACACAAATACGGGACACGCTTTAACGAGGCAGTCTCAATTAGAATCTCTTTAATTGTTATTTCAGGACCTGCTGAGAGCTTGTTCAAGGAGTCTTACTACCAGCTGATGAAGGCAGCATTGAGAAGTGGTGGAATTATTTGTTCCCAGGGTAAGTTTATCTTTCACTGGACTTGTGCATTAAAAGCTGGCTAATAAGTAACCTTTTGAGTCTGCTAAAGATGTTAGTGAATGGATTACTTTCTGTTGAGTTGTTCCCTTCAGATTGAGTAATGCCAAAAGATGGGAAAGTAACACACTTTTTTTCTCCCCTCTCCCCGCCTCTTGCTTTTGTAACTGACAGGTGAGTGTCAGTGGCTCCATTTGGAGCTGATAAAGGAGATGCAGACCTTCTGCAAAACCTTATTCCCTGTGGTGGACTACGCCTACAGCACCATTCCAACTTATCCCAGTGGCCAAATTGGATTCATGCTCTGCAGTAAAAATCCTGTAGGTGTTAAACTGTCTTTCTCAGTTTGTCATCCACCACACTTCCCCAAGTGTTCTTGGATTGCCTAAAAAAATAAAAGAAAATGCAGAAATGTTCCATAGCATAACAGTTTCTCCCTGATCATCCTTGTGCCTTGTTTGTTTTTTAGGAAACAAATTTCAGGGAACCAGTGAAAGCACTGTCAAAAGAAGAGAAGGAAAGTATGAGCCTTAAATATTACAACCCTGAAATTCACAAAGCGTCGTTCGTTCTCCCAGAGTTTGCAAGAAAGGTAAGTTGGTTTCAGATTTTAATAGTCTGTCCCACACTTGGGAGTGCAATCCACACAATGCCGAGGGGTATTTTCTGCATTTCACCTGGTGTCTTGTCTGACAGGTGCTCAGAGAAGCATGACCAGCAGCAAAGGGCCATGTGCATCCTTCAGCCAACCCTTAGAACATGGATAAACAACCTTTTTCGATGGCTTCTTGAACTCTACGTAGTTAAACGTCATCCCAAGATTTTCAGTTCAGAGAAAATATTGATTTTTGAGCCGGTCTTGCACACTCTTGTGTTGTCTTTCAGTTCTTCATGTAATTGTCTTATCTGCATTTTGTGAAGCAAACCTAACCTCATTCTGAAATGTTGTTTTTGTTTTTAACTCTGTTTTCTGTAAAACAATAAATTACACATAGCACAACATGTGTAATTGTTACATGGAGTATAGGAACCGCTCTACCATTTACAGGTCAAGTGAATAATACTTTGGCAGGTGGCTTCAATTTTATTGTGTCTGATTGGTGTATGTAATCCTCTACTGCACATTTATTTTGTGACCTTTTATTATTTTGATATCTTGTCACAATCATGGTTCAGAATACTGTCCACTACACAGAAACCCTATAGTGCCTGAAACTGGTTGCGCTTAACCTACCAGTCTTATGGTCTCCTACTCAGAAGCTAAATGGAAAAAGATCCCTTTAAACAAAACAAAGCACCTAATTGGTTTAGTTAAGGCTCAGCTTTGAGCGTCAGTTATCGAATACTGTAAAGAGATCACATTACATGCAAACTTAGAAATGTTACCAGAGCTGTCCAGTCCACGAATAGTCTTAACATATGAATTCATTATGCAGTTATAGCATGCAGTATTGGGTCTTGATTACTGGGTGTACTGTTTGTACTGTGTAAGAGTCTGACTGCAGGATGTGAGATCGTTTCTTTAAATGGAAATGTAATAGTTCAGTGATTTGAGCTAATGTAAGACATGATTTACTGTTAGCTATGGCTACCTTGACTCTTTACTGGGACATGGTGTTATACCTGAATGAATGAATTTGTCTTTTTTTTATAAGAATCATGAACTGTAATAAACTGGTAACGCAATATTAATGTATCAATGGCTGGGTTATGTTTTGTTTTTCGAGGTCTGCATTTTCCAACCACGCTTTCAAGCTGCTGTTTGCTGCAAATGGTGAGCAGGATCTGTGGGAGCAGTGTAGTGTTGAGACACATGCAGCTTTGGTATTCAGGCACCAGGTGGCATCCTTGAATCTTTTATGTTTTAGGCCCGTCTCCGCGTTGGAATTATACTGCTGAAATTCTTTGAATTAGAGTAAAAAGCGGTCGGACCCTCTGAGCTATTTAGTGTTTCATGATGGGAAGTGTCACTGTGGAACTTACCATTCAGTTGCGTCAACTCAAACTACTGTGCAAAAGCTCAGTCTTCACTAATATTTTTTTCATTTTTTATTATAATGGGACCAACCTGCAGTTCAGTGCTATGTTGTCACGCTGCTTTTACACAGGAGCTGTGCCCATAGCTGGATGATAAAGATAATTTGTGCTTATTACAGTGTTAATACTGTAATATAGGAAATGAAGCACATCTCTATGGGCTTGTGTTGGCACCAATGAAGCGACAGCCATGAATTTTTAATTTGACTGGGTTTTAATCTCCATACCACAGGAACAAAACTTGGGAATACAATAGACTGACATTAAAATTTATTTCTTCTACAGCTAAATTGGTGGCTTGTTTCCACGTGTACAGATTCACCTGTTTGTTTGATAACAAAAGCATAAAACCCTTATATGATCTGTGAGTCACTTAATTCTCAGCCATCTATTTCAGTTACTTGTTGAGGTGGTGACTCAACAACATGTAATAATGAAAATGGAGATTTTAATGCACATTAATGCAATCTTGGAGCACCTATAGTAGTCGCTGGGGGTTCCTTAAGTGTTTGAAGTCTCTTGCAGTGTCATCTGCAGATCCCTTTAAGCTGACGTTGCTGTATATTCCTCAAACACACTGAACTGCCAATATAACAATTTTTAACAGTCAGCTAATCTTTGGATTTGCTTTGGGCCAGCTTCAGATCTGCAGAAATCAACCCAGAGACTGTTGTGGAAGCATGAGAAATCCATTTGAACATATCAAACGAGGCATACGGGAATACGAGCGCCGCATGTTCCCTGCCAGCAGCAAAACAGTGAATCCTGTAAACTCAACTTAATTGTGCTTTTTCATGAAACGTCTCACAGGTTGACAGCAGATTCTCACACACTTTGAAACAATGTCATCTCAGACAAGAAAGTATAATTAACTTCAGTGAGACATTTAAAATATATATAGTATTAAATGTTTTGTTTTTTTGTTAAGCCATAAAATACAGTTTATGGTGTTCTTTGGTAAATAAGTTTATGTTATGTCACTATATTAGACCTATAAAATATTACTTTTTATATAAGCAAACTCGATTAGCAGTTAAACCTGTGTAAAGAGTTGAGGAATTAATTTTTACTTATAATGTATGTTAATGGTATTGTGTAGAAAACCTCAGTGGCAGTTTTAGAATCCATTTGTTGTGCAGTGCGTCTGGTATCCATTGTGAAGCAAAGGACATTAATTCGTTTTCGATTCAGAGACGCCACATGCATCAAATCACGGGGCCCATGTTAATGCAAAGATAACCACAAGATCCTTATGGATCAGCACTAAACTACTGAACACTGCTGCTTCCTTTTCAACAGCTATGCTAACTCCACGAGATTGGTGATGTGCATTTCCTGAAGAGATTTCGGCGAGTCAGTGCGAGTGTCAGACCGTTCAATTGCAATCTGCAGGTGTCAAAGAGGCATATAGAAGCAATATGACAGGAATAGGATTTTGCCCGGGGTAGGGTGCCAAACAGCGGCCTGTGTTGGGAGTGGAAGATAAGCTGGCTCATGGTCAATTTGTATCTCTTTTAGATCTACTTTGACTCCTGCTACAGGGAAATGTGGCCGCTTTATTTAAGTGCTAAAAATGGTTCAGGCATATCCGTTGGTATCACACTTTAGATGAGCTGTGGAATTGTCCGTCCACCTGTCTGACAGGTATTCTCTGAGATTGTCTATCGTAACTGCGAACGCATTAGTTGATGTCAAAACCTGGTAACGGGCGATTGACGTCGTCGTGCGCTGCAGATGTTTCCTCCCGATGAATCACATGTACGCAAGCAATCTCACAATTTGTCAAAAAGGTTAACTTTTAAACGGTTCCATTTGTTGTGTCCTGACCTCTTCATCTCTCCTCCTCTTTCATGCTCTCCTACACACCCCCAACGACATCCACACGCGCGCGCACACCCTCCACCCTCCGTCATACACCCACCACCCTCTACGTCAGTGGCAAACACGAAGGGGGTAGAGGCGTATAAAAGAGTGAGGGGCTTTAGAGGTAGAGCTGAAGAAACATCAAATCTTCTGAGCAGCTGCCACCAACTGCACTCCACTTTTTTCTCTCCCACCGTTCTTCTCTGGATCTCCGGCTAGTCTGAGCTGCTCAGACTCTCCTGCTCAGACACACACACACAGACACACACAGCCACACTGTCGTTGTGAGCCTCCTGCTCCTGTGACTGTAGCTCTGGTCGGTCACCTGCACTCCTGTCACAGCATGCAGCTCCTGGTGGTGTTAGCAGCTCTCATGGGGGTTGTGTTCAGCGTTAGAGCAGCTGCCGTGCTTCCTGTGGAGGATAGGAGCCCCATCCATGTGAACAGGGTGAGGAGATTGTTCGTATTGCTCATATTAGTTTGATGGTATTTTTTTTATGACTTTGAGGTGTAATTATTAATAAATGTATCCAGTTACTACATGGGAAATAGTTTGAATGATTCGAATTTTGAAAACAAAAATGTAACTTACAATAAAACAAAATCTGTGGTTATGTAAATAAATAGTAAGATATTTAAAAATGGCTTTTTTAAAATTGAATTAAAACTGCTTTTAACTGACATGATTAATATTGTCAGTATATATAATTTAAAATGGGAAAAGTATTAATGATCTGTGAGCATCACAGACAAGTGTTTTAAAGTCACACTTCCATGATTTTTCCTCCGTGATAATATTATCTCTACTTTCTGATTCCTGGTTAGGAGCTGAGCAAAGAACGCAAGGAGCTGATCCTAAAGCTGGTGTCTGGCTTGTTGGATGGAGCTCTGGACACGAACATGCTGCCGGGAGAAGCGACACCTGTGGAGCTTGAGGAGCCGCTGGAGTCTCGTCTGGAGGAGAGAGCTGTGTATAACAGGCTATCGCTTCCCCAGCGTGACCGCAAAGCTCCCTGTAAAAACTTCTTCTGGAAAACTTTCACCTCCTGCTAACAGTGCCCAAAAAAAACCCCACTCGGCTCCGCCTGCCTCCGGTACTCCTTCTGTTCCAGCTCTACATAAACTGTGGTAGACCTCAGCTATACATATCATCTACACCTGTCACACATGCAACATCGATGGACTTCACTGAGACAGTGTGTCTGTTTGAATATTAATTATTTATGTATCTATTTATGTATACAATGTATGTAACAGTTTCTTTCAGGGTCAACAATAAAGCATGGATATAATATTTAAAATGGTGATAACAGTTAATTACTTTTTGTTTTTTGAAGGTCAAATTTTCCTTCTCCTGCTTCTGTAAAACAAATGCAAAGGCAGATTTCTTAAAAGTGTTGTAGCTGTGTTTTTCTTTGCGACTAAAATAATCGAAATATTTCACGGCTTTCCTGTGTGCGAATATTTTTCTTTCTAAGAAACATTAAGGCGCAGCTGTGCCCTGTGGATACGGAACTTCTTTTTCAAAAGCACATCAAACATTATTTTCTTTTAAGTCTTTCTACTTTACCGGCATACACACAATAATAACCAGGGGCAGCAATACTGCTACAAAGACCGGATTTTCTATAACTATGAAGCATTAAAAAAGGAATAAACTGCCCCCTTTTATTTTTAAATTAATAGCCTTTTACTCATCTATAAATAAAACTATACCGTAAGTGAATTAAGTCAAAGTAGCTTGAGTATTAGTCCTTATTAATTCCTCACCACAGGTTGAGGGAGACGCTTCAGTGACTTATCACAGATCGTTAAACATGTCAGCATAATAGGAAAGTATATAAATCAGAAGCTCCTCCCGTGTTCACACAATCATGATGTTCTGTTTCAGAATATTATGAGCAAAGTGGGGGGAAAAGGAGAACGGCTGTCAAAGCACATCAACAAAAAACAATAAATGAAGGAAATAAATGAAAAGAGCGTAAAGTCAATATAAGCAAGAAAAATCATGTTGCACTGATGACAGTCTGACCTCAGCGTTTAATAGAAAAAGCCCAGAAAAGGCTTTGGTTGCATGTTAAGATAATGAAGCGAGACCTCCATCAACCTGCTAATACTCTCTCTGATTCTGACTCCCAGTCAGCTGCACGCCTGCCCAGTTCTCAATCAGTCCTGCTACAACTGCTCCACACCCTCCAGCCCTTCAGGCACGCTCAACCACCGTAAAATGAGTTTTTCTTAACCACTTATTTAGGGAAAAAGTGAAGTTGGTGCTGGCCGCAATCAAATATCGACTTCCAACTCGGGCCCACGGCCCCTATTAGCGAACTGATGGATTTCCTGTGATAAATGACATGCAGGTGAAATGTCCTGCTGTTCGCGCCCGTTCAAGCGAACCGTTTATTTTCACACGTGAATAAATGAACAATCTTAAAAACGGAGCAACAAAAACAAACAGTTTAAGAGAGCACTGCTGAATAATGCAACAATCACAGGAGAACCTTTTGATGATTATTATGTTCCGTTCAAGGGTTTTAAAATTAACTGCCCTGGCTTTTCCTTTAAGTTTTGCCAACTTGTTAAACTCTGATGCTGATCACATCGAGCTGTCTGTTACATAAATGATAAAACTGTAAGCATGAGGAATACTTTAGTTGCTGTGGTTCTGTATTCAAATTTGAGACTTGGCTGGTAGAAAATGGCACATTAGCAGCACAAAGTACATATGAAGGATCAAAACAACATTTACCCAACTAACCCACGGAGAATGGGCCGTTTGAACTTCTCTGCCAGCAGTAATTATTGCTCAATGCTTAGCAGAGTTTTACACTCACTAACATAAATGAGAGACTTCAATGAAAAACGGCAATTCCTAAATTTCATTACTCCACAGTCCACAGAAATCCTGAACACTCAGAGGAAAGGCAAAGCTCCGGTGCTGTCTCAACTGGGTTAGTGTCTCCTCGTCATCCTGCACAGAAAGAATAGCACCAAATGACTCATAATCATACTTGTTTTACTGCTGCGAAGTTAACATTCACACTTCTGATGAAACATTAAAGGCCATTGTGAGGATATTTTTTCCTCCATTTATTGCATGCATTTAAGACTACGCGAGAGGAAAGACTCGTCGGTCTATCCTAGGTTTTAACTGAACAAGACAATATAAAATCCGCTGAAAAGGACCACGTGACGGTGAGTTATCGCTCTGTGAATTTCAAAGCTGTATAATTACACGGTTCTTACAACCGCTGGGAACTCTGCTCCGTCGCTCCTTTTAACGATGCTGAATAGGCAAAGGCTCCTGGGAGCTGTCTTGATTACAGGTCATCACCTGGCATCTTGCATTCTTGTATTTGAAAAAGGAAAGGGAAAAAAAATATGCAGGTTTACAGTCTGTAAGAAAACTAGACTCTGTTTTTCAATAGAATAGAATCGGTTTGAAGAATGAAGGAAAAATGTCAAACATAAAAACATTTCTGCTCCTTCAAATATATCAGATGCCAATCATTATCTGGGGTTGGGTTTATCGACACAGTACAATTTGATGTCAGTAAAGGCGCTGTCCGCTCCTGACTTTATGCCCGTGGGCTCAAATGAGCATGCAGAGGAGCAACTTCAAAGCTGATGCCTGCAAGTAACACATTTTATTGGCTTTCCTTTTGATCTGAAGAGGGAGTGAAAGGAGTGCTCGGGCCAAACTGTGTAATTCAAATTTAAATGTGACTCCATGTGCCACTCTTTAAAAATAACAAAGCTTTAGGTATTGTTGGTGCACCTCACAGGAGTATCAAAGTGAACCCACTATCGACACATACAGAGTCCTTGTTGACCTTATGTGATATTATAATATATATATAGAGAGAGATAAATATACACAGCTCCAAATACATATTAACAATAAGCTATGAAAACAACTGGGGCATTTAGTGAAGAAACAAATTTTCCACTTCATTGCTTCAGACAAAAGTCCTAATTTGAATGTTTGTGTTGAGCTTCATTGTGAAAGGTTGTAGAATCACCCCCATCAAAATAATCATTCGGCTTTTGGCAGATTTCAGCACCTTGTTTGGGATTTATGGTCTACACATTTACTACATGGTTTCACCATCGCTCTTTCCTGCAGCTGCGAGAGACAGCTCCTGTGCTTTCAGCCCATTAATCTGTGTTTTTGGACTAAAGATTTGCTAATTCAAATCACTTCAGCTGAAATTCATGTAGTCACTGATAATCCAATGGTTATTCAGGTTTTCTGAAGTTTTTTTTTGGATATTGGCTGCGTTGAAGTGTGCCAAATTACCCACGAACTGGACTGAAAATTTACGGCAACAGGTCTTATTGGGTGATCAATCCAAATTTAAAATTTCTGTATTAAGTTGCTATATTTGTTTGGATGTGGTGTATGTTGATATATTTGCATCTCTTGAATGATTATTCACATTTTGAAGCACTTTGTAACTGTGTTCTTTAAAAAGGGCTACACATACACAGTTTTTCCAAAGGGTGAAGTGCTCCACTGTTCTGCTGCAAAGCGGACTGGTGGTTGAAACAACTCCCATCAGTTTTGTGGGAATTTTGTTTTTCTCCTGAAGCAGTTCTTGAACTGAACACATTAAAGGCTACGAGAAAGCTGTTAAATGCCAGGGTTTTCTGAGAGTGTGCTAGAAACTGTGCTGCTACAACTTCCATACAAATCCCACACATTCACAGGGAAGAAGACACATCTGAATCCATGGATATAGTTTTCTCAAGATTATAAACTCTGTGAAATGATTCTATTTATTGTCACCACTGAATCAACAGCGGTCCAAACACATTCAGAAACCCTCGAGAAATATGATTATTTTATTTTAATCTGTTCCTATATGTGATGTGTGTGGACTATTATTACAGGAGTGCTGATCCAACTTTTAAATAAATGTCTGGAACTAACATGAACTAACATGTCCCTTTTAAATATTCCCAGGAAGTCACCCTGAGATGTAGCCTTATTATAACCATTTGCAGCACAAATACGAGGCAGGAAACTGAAACTGTTATTTTTTCCTGGTTAAATAAAGGTAAATAAATAAATATGTTCCAGTAATGTTGGAGTCCAGGCTCTGGGGAGGCCAATCCATAATGTATTCCATTGCTTGTTTATATGATCATGGACATCATATGCACGCAGCACTGACATGCTGAAGTTGTTGCTAATCAGAAGCTTTCCAGATGGTACTGCATGGCGGCTCAAAACACGATGGTGTTCGTAATTCCATCATTTCTAACAAGATCCCCAACACCACTGACAACGCAGCTAATAGCTCGTTGGGAATCACCTTGTTGATGTGAAATTGCGATCTTATGTAAAGTTGTGTTATTTTTGGTGTTTTTATGGATTCAACTAAAAGAATTGGAACAAATGGTGTGTTTTTGTTACAGGTTGCAACTAACATAGTGCCCAAAGATACCATTTAAATTAGGTTATTTGCTAAATTGTCTTAGACGTAACACTGGTTCCTGTTTGGTTAGGTCCTTTTTTATGCTTTGATGATTCGTAGGTCAAAGTGTTCATTTGTTAAGTGGCAACTGAGAAAACATTCCCCTGAAAGTGATCAGCTGGAAGAAAAAAATGAATGAAAATGCATCCAGTGTCCAAAAAACAACTGTGAAACACCTCCAGAAAGCCTGAAAAACTATGATAAAAAAATTGCAGTATTCTATAAATGTACTAATTTATCTATTTTATTTCACAAACAGATTAGCTTACCTTTATCTACCAGCTGACCTTGTAAACTTTGTTGGCCAAGCTATGTGATCACCCTGTTTGTTTCTGTTTTTCACAGATGTGTCAGAACCGATTTGAATCCTGCTCTTGTGGAAATTTAGAAACGGTTAACGTCAAAGACCTACCTAACAGGGCCTCCCATCAGTCAGAAGACAGGCCAAATTAACACCCAGCACTTGGCTGAATGCTTCTGAGAAAAGGTGTGAACAGGCGAGCTTGTGTGGCAGTTTCCCTGCTGAAAGGAAGTCTGGGTCCTCTCCTGTGCACAACAAATGCTGACCACAATACCTCGTGATCTTAAGAAAGCTGAAGGAAAATCATTTGAAAAGATTTTGGAATGAGCAGGCCAAATTAAATAGAGAATAAAACAATATAACTACTATTTTCATGGGTACATGTTTTGCTTTAAATACGAGGATGGAAGCTCTTTGCAGTCCATAGACGAGCACTTGTGCTTTATCAACCCAGCAGCTCTGGACTCAATGCCTGTAGCAGGCTTATTCATCCCTGTCAGCCAGACTCAATTTGTTTAGTTGTGACAGTTTAGATTTAGGTTGTGAACAGTGAAGCAGTGAACAAAGGCAGTATGGTTGAGTAGCTGAGGCTTTCTGAAGTCAAATAAATATATAAAGAAATTGTTGTTCCAGGGACATGACATGCCCAGGAATAATGGACCTGTCTCTCTGT